TTGGTGACACAGTTTTGCGCCCTGTAAAGGGGCTGTTGAACTCAGAGTCGGCTGTGAGTTTCATAGCGTATCATTTAAAAAAAAACCTCAAAATTGAGCATTGCCGATGGGAACATACAAGAATTTGTGGGAAAAGTTTGTCTACCAGTGATTTACGACCAAAGGGCAGAAGATATAGACATATATACGAGTATATACGGAAATAGACCAAATGATTGAGTTAAGAGTAATTGAGGTTATATGTAGATAATCTTGGACCCCATCCTAGATCAGGAAAAGATATCATGGGCATTCTATAACTCTTGACCATCTAACCAAATCTAAACAAACAGTAAAGAAAATCACTGCTGACGTTGTCATAAAATATTCAGAGACAGAACACGTGGAACAAGTGTCTTGCGTGCCCGAAGGCATTATATCGCGCAATGCTTTTAATTCAGGTCGGAGACTTTCCGAAATCTTTTAAATGAGTACAATGACACACTCATTTACTGTGGTTCACGCACCTCAAGGGAATTTGCTTTGGGCACCTAATTAAATGTTATATTAAATGCAGTATTGGACATCCGAAAATATACCAAAAAGATGCAATTCATTACCAGCTGCACCAGCGGAGTTTTGAAAAGCTTACATATTGCATATGGAGTGATTTTCAGCTGACCATAATTACTGCTTATGGCCTAGGCCCATACGTGAGCTTCCTTTTTATTTCTTTTCTAATCGAACCGTCGGAGCATTAAGTCTTAAATGTTTCGTCTTAGAGCTAGAAATTTTTTTTCTAAAATTCATAACCTCATGAGGGGCGTGAGAAAAAAAAGTGCTAAAATATAGAAATTAAGTGTGAATTAAGAATATAGAATTAAGTGTTCCTATCCGCTAAAACGGTTCGCGGTCTAATTTTTTTTTTGTGGGTATGATTTCCCAGGCGGAAATTTCGTTTGCGAAAATCTATGAGTGGCGCAGCCTTCGAGCAGCAGCGCCACCTCCAAGTCCCCAAGGTTTGGTCGGGGCATTCACAGGTTAGTAAATATCGGGGGAAAAGTGATAAGATTAGCTACGCGAAGGCTCTAACTTTTTAGGCAGAATCAAGTCACCACTGTTTCGGCGAGCCTCCTGCTATTGAGAAGTCTCGATGAACAGCGAGTAATGATTTTTATTTAATTTAATTGCTGGAAAAATATTAGTAAAATGAAAGCACCAAAGTAAATTTCGAGCCGCCGGCAACTATTTGCTGAAGAAAACATATTAAAAAAAAGATGTTTCACTTAGTTTCAGAGAGTGAACGTTTAAATTTTTGCTTAAATATGGCAAAGACAAGTTTATTTAAATGCGTTTTGGTTCGAGAAAACATAAGTGAAAGTATGGTCTATATATTTCCAAAGTCATTTCAGTTCACCGGGAGATCGATCTTCCGATCTTGAAATTGAGTGAGTTTTATCTGTCTAACTATCTGTCTTTATCGGTTTATCTGTTTTATATTAATTAAAATCAAACCGAATTTACTCGTGAACCACTGGTCTATTTTTTTTATTCTCTAATCAAAGAATCTGAATAGAAAATATTTTATTAAACATGAATAACTTTTGAGAAATGGGAAAAAAGTTAATAAATATTTCTGGAAGAATAGGAACAATATTTAATATTTTAAGTATTACATCCGTGTTTCACTAACAACAAATTTCTCATCCTTTCCCTCCTTTTCTAGAAATATCTTTTTCTGAATATATTTGTTTTATTCTTACGATTTTGTATACTAGCTCCCATGTTCTTTTGTCGCAAGCACGCTCAATTCTCAATCTTAGGCAATAATGTCTGTATGGAAAAAGTATCTATACAGGCAAGACCAACACCCCAAAGCAACACCGACGAGCTGAAGCCGGATTCTAAAGCGTGCACCTGCAAGTACAGGTTCCCTTACCTTCCATCATCTTGTTTCGTTGCACGTTACAAAATGATGCGCATTATTTCAAAGAAATTTTAGGCAAAGTAAGGTCCCAAGGTTTGGGCCAATTTGGTCCCAGATTTCTGAAAGCTCGTAAAAGGAAAAGGTTGGGTGTTGCTTACTAGGACTTATAAAAAAATATATTATATATTTGCAGGGCAAATTCCGCCAAGGACATACGGCAATAGCTGGCTCCACACGGTATCAGTCCTGGTTCTATCGTGTTCCCCACACTGATTTTGATAGTGGAGATTTGTAGGGGCGCTTGTACCAGCAAATGCATCTCGTAGTTATTTGGTAGTAACACGGATCAAAACGCAGTTACAAATTTGGGTGCATCCGCAACCTGTGTTTCGGGAACATGATGGTTGCCAAGCAAAATGCTGCGGTCTTAATGTGCTTCGGAAAATCGGTGACTGTGTCGGGAGAAGAGAACGGATCGAATTCGCCCCTCTCTATGAAAGTAGAAGACTTAGAGAGGTTTTGGGACATTTTGGGACATTTTTGAAAAACATTTCTGAGAGACCACTAAAAAAAATAAAAATGGGAGATATGTAGTAAAAATTCCATATAAGAATGAACGAGAATTAGGAGACTCCAAGGCGCAAGCTATAGCGCAATTTTATAATCTGGAAAGAAAATTAAATAAAATTATGAAATTGAAAGAAATCTATTTAAAATTCATCCATGCATTCACTTAGGACATATGGTAGAGTCTAAGAATGAAGGAAAATATAATTTACCACATCAAGGTGTAAGAGAATCCAGCCTTACAACTAAATTAGGAGTAGTTTTCGATGGCTCAGCAAAAACTACAAACAACAAAAGACTAAATAACATTATGTGGGTTTGAACAAGAGTTTAAAAATATAAATATTATATCTTTGATATCATCGTCAAATGGCGTAAATGGCCATTTGTAGTATCGCTGGACATCGAAAAAATGTACCAGCAAATAAACATTGTTGTATAGGATCAACAATATCTGCATATTTGGAGAGATTTTCCATATAATAAACTAAAAGAATGCAAATTAACAACAGTTATCTACGGTACAGCATCGGCTCCCTAATTAGCGACAAGAGTGCTCGCTGAAATTTGAAATCAATGCAAAATATCAATGTATCGATAAAAGAAATAATTAAAAATGATCTGATGACTAGTGCATAGAAGAAGAAGATTAGTCCATAGAAGAAGGCAGAAAAAACGTTCAAATAACCTTTGAATTATAAACGGTTGGTTTCAACCTTAGTAAATGGATTTTCAATGTCTCAGAAATAGTGGAAGCATTGTACAGAAGAAAATAAAATATTGGAGATCCGAGAAAATGAATCCATTAAAATTTTGGGGCTTCAACGGAAACCGATTAAAGATGGACTAAAATTAAATTTTAATTGTGAACCCTGTACAATTGTAATAAACGAATTATCTATACTTGCAAAAATGTATGACCCTTTAGGCTGTAACAATGAAAATGGGATCAGAACTTATCAGATCCAGATGCCAATGAATGGAATGCTTTCAAAGAAAACTTAACATTTCTAAATCCCAAGGTGGATTAAATCCCAAGATAAAATGCCGGTACAAATTCATGGATTCTCCGTCCGAAAAAGCATACGCAGCCGTTGTATATGCCAAGGTGGGATCCTCTTCGATGGTTATAGCTATTATAGCTTCTCTCATCAAATTAATAGATAGAGTTAGGACAGCAATTGGAGGTCAAACGAAGGCATATGGTTGGAGTGATTCAACGATCACACTTGCAGGGATTAGAAATGGGAATAATAAAGACAAATTTATTCGAACTGACGAGATTAGAAAAGTTAAGGAGTTAAGGAGTGGAGAAATGTTAGGTCAGAAGACAACCCTGCAGACATATCATCAAGGGGTGTACACCGGAAAAATTACTAGAATGATGGATGGAACTGGTTGCCCAAGTCGAAAGAATAATGGCCAAAAGAGGATGAATTATATAGTATAATTGTCAGAACATGCTCTGGCATCATGGTATTTTAAAATTGCGTCTCACTCTTGGGCGTATGTTCTGTGAATACACAACGTTAGCAAATGTGTGTGGGCTAGATTTAAAATGACGTTTTCTGTCTTTTTAATAGCCTCCACAAGGCCATTTTAGAGGATTGATTTTTATATAATTATTTTTGACGGTAATCTTATCAAAGTAGATATTGGCAGAACGAGGTTTTTCAATAATTTGGTAACATAATAGGTATTCGCAAATTATTATTAATTTAGAACTAAGATTTAAACTTAATTATGGAACTGTAAACGCCTTTATACTAAACAAATTAAATCTTCTTCTAATGGTTTAGGCATTAAAATCAGTTTTTTTTTTTATTTCCATTGTATTGCTGTCTAATAGTAAGACCGTTCTTAGGTCCTTCTTTGGCTCATGCATTCTTCTTGACACCCACTTGACCACTATTTTCACCATATGCTATTTTACAAAAATATTAACTTTTTTCGATATTGTAGTTATTTGAATTCGAAACGCTAAAATATTGTATTGGTTGTTAGATTATTAGTGATTAATTATTAGACAAACTCTCTTTCTAGCTTTTGAAAAAACTTCCACGCCTTTGAAAAAAAACCCACAAGAAGCCCAAAGCTGTCACGGGAATACTTTTTAATTTTTGTTGTACATTTTATTATTTTTCTTGCCAAATTCTATCGACATGCCAAAAAAAAATTTAAAATTTCTCAAAATTTTCAAATTACCGGGTATATGCTAGTCGAGAAAATCGACTATAGCGTTCTCTCTTGTTTATTTTGCAATAGTATCGCCTCCAGTGTGCAGTAAGCAATTGTAATTGAAAAAGTTATGGGTCTGATTTAATATCTTATTGCTTCCTAATTACAAATGAAGGGCCAAATTAACAAATTTTAAATTGTATACCTAATAAATTCATTAAAAATTTTTTTTTCTGACTACAATGCGTACATATACACATATACATATACATACTTCAAGAAACTAAGCAAGCAGATTGATTGGTTGTAGACTGGTCAATGCTGATGGTAATTCTCATTAGTACATTTTAGGCATCTGAAATAACGAGGTGTGAATTCTGGGCGGGGCTCGAGCTTTAAACAGCTTAATCGTATAGGGGAATTTGTATTCTTACAGTCAACGTTTCAAACTCCAGTTGTAGTCATACTGAAGACAAGATGAATCCGCAACTCGAACAAGACAAATCGAGATTATGTTCTTGGATTAACGAAAGTATAACATTAAAAAAAAAGGAAAAATTCGGAGCATTTAGTATTGACAACATTTTGAGCACTTCAGAGGCTCATCCAAAGTTAAATGTTCAATGTACCAAAGATAATACAAATGCTACATCAAGTAAGAAAAGTAAGTTGACTATAAAAAAATATAGTGGTGCCATTTATGGCTGTTAGCTTAAAGTTATTTATTTGCTTTTCTAATTCTTAAATAACAGTTATATAGTTATATAACTCACAATATAGTTTCTTACTTAAATAAAATGTTAGCCATCAAAATTATTTTTTGTATTATATTTAAATACATTTTTTTTTTAATTTTTATTATATTCTTTGATTTTCAACAATAGGCCGAAAAGGAATATACATATGTATATATATTATAACAAGAAAAAACGTTATTTTATTTGAAAAGTAAAAGTCATTCGATAGTCATATTGAAATGAAAGCATTTATGTTGGCTTCAAAAGCATTTTTTATATCCAGTACTAGAGACCTTAAAGGACACCTACAAGAACAATTTCAAGTTGAACCAAATTTTTATTTTTTTATTTTTATTTTGCTTAAGCTTAGCAATTTTTTTCAAGCGGGTATTTAAAAGACAATTATCTGGTTGAAAATAAGTCATCCTTTCTTCTTCTTTGATTTTATTATTTTCTTTGCTTTAAGATGCATACAAATATTTTCACACATTCCATGGTGTGAAGTTCATTATGAACTATTTGTTCCTCAGTAGTGGTTAAATTTTTATTTTTATACCTGTTACTCGTAGTGTAAAATGGTACACTGATTTTTTGAAAAGTAAGTAAAAGGTAGAAGACAGTGTTTCCGAGCCTATAAATTATATAAGTACATATATTCTTGCCAAAACTGCCCCGCCCGCACTTTTCAATATTTTTTTGTTTTTATTATTTTAGTAGTCTTATAAATGTCTATTTACTACCATATATTCGTTACCCTTTACTCAGCTAGGGAATATGAGCAAATAAAAAAAACCAAGAGAGAATGCTATAGTCGAGTTACCCGAGTTAGTCGAGTTAATCAGCTAGTAGAAGTGCGAACGAATTCTGGAATATGGGTAAAAATTGGGGAAAAAAAATAATAAAATTAAAATAAAATTAAAATTTGTTTTAAAGTGTGGGCGTGACAGTTTTGCGCTGTTTGTGGGCGTTAGAGAGGACGTGGCAAAATGTTTTTTTTGGCAAATCTATAACAATTTTATAATAAATGAAAAAATATCACATTTTACAAAAGTGTGGTCGTGACATTTTTGGGCGGTTTGTGGGCATTAGAGTAGGCGTGGCAAAAAGTTTTACAAAATATATTTTAAAAAAATTAAAAAATATCACAAGACTTTTAAACGTGTGGTCATGACAGTTTTGGGTGGTTTGTGGGTGCTAGAGTGGGCGTGCCAAAAAGTTGTTTGCCAAACAAATATTAAATTTTCAAGATATATAAAAAAAAATCAACATTTTTCAAAAGTGTAGGCGTGGCAGTTTAATGCGGTTTGTGGGCATAGTGTCAACATTTGGAAACAAACTTTGGAAGCTGCATGCTTAATCTCAACATTCTAGGTAGGACAACATTCTAGGACGGACGGACAGACGGTCATGGCCAGTTCGACTATTCGGCTATTGATCCTGATCAAGAATATATATACCTTATATGGTCGGAAACGCTTCCTTCTGCCTGTTACGTACTTTTCGAGGAATATAGTATACCATATAGTATATAGTATATAATTGAGACCCCTTTTTGTGTAACCTTGCAGAGGGTATATATACTTCCACTTGCCGAAACTCTCTTATTTCCTTTTTTTTAATAATTTAGCATCATTTGAAAAATAAATAAATAAAGAAAGATAGTCGATAGTATTCCCCGCAGTTCTCTATATAAATAAGAATACGAACTGTTTTCACTGTTCCTATGGCAACTATGTCTTCCGATTTTTATATGAATAAAACCGAAATTATGTATTTACAAAAAACTGGTGTGCACCAAATTATAATATTTATTAATTAAAACAAATATTCATTGGCTGCCACTTATTTTACAAATATTCTAATGTTAGCTTATGTATTTATATATGTATGTATTATATACTGTTATTATATAGATGATTCTATATTATATAGAAGAAAGTAGTGTCGGCGAGATTCATGCATATAGCTTAAAAACTAAGAGACTGAAGAGAAAGGAAAGACTTCCCGTTCGTCTATTGACTCGTTTGTTAACACTAATCAAGAATATATGAATAAACTTTATACATACAATCATTTATGTCTCCTTTACTGCGTTTATGTATTCATTTAAATTATTTTTTTGGCGAACAATGTGTTTGTACACATATATAATAAACATACTTTACAAAACTTAGCAAGCAGATTGATTGGTTGTTGACGACTGTCAATGTTGATGATAATTCTCATTAGTACATTTTAGGCATGTGAAATAACGATGTGTGAATTATGGGCGGGACTCGAGCTTTAAACCGCTTAATCGTAGGTGGGAATTTGTGTTTTTATAGTCAACCTTTTCAAATTCAGTTTTAGTCACAATTTACTATCAAAATTATTGGTAATTTTCGAATAAAAATGAAATTTTATTAAATTCGTTTAATTTATTTAGAAACATCAAATCAGCGAATTTGCACGCGCATAAAAATTTTTTTTAATGAAGAAGTTTGGTTATAAAACTTGTATAGGTTATATTTTTACGCGAGAAAGTAGAGCAAATCGTTTGTTGATCAAGCGAAAACTTTCCTGACCTTAACTAAAAATTGGATTTTTAAAAAAAAAACGTTAAATAAAAGTAAATACATAGTTAACTCGATAGATACAATATGTTCCGAAAAAGTATTAAATTGCCAATAAAGTTGTTGAAAGGAAAAAACGAGATTGGCAGGAGCTGTCAGAAGTAACGAAGAAATTTGTAATATACTTTTTGTCAGCTCTGATCCTGATATTTCCTGATAAACAAATTAAAAATAATCGCATTTCAAAAAAATTAGCGCAATGGTAGTGCGTGGAGAGTGCGAGTTTGGAATACGCCAGTTGTTAAATAGAGAGTAAAGCAGAGGAAGAAAGTTTGAAGAAAGGCAGACTGAACAAAGAAAGCGGAAAGAGCGAGCTGTGAGAGACCGAATTGACCGGCACTAGGTAGAGCGAGATGGTAAGAGGAGAGGGCGTCTCGTGCCGCTCGCGACGAGTAAACAGTACAAAGGTGGATTTAGGATCGTACAAACAGTAAAGACGTGAACCTTAGATCTGGAGAATGAAACACCGAGAAGAAATATACCCTATGAAAGGGTATACAAATTTCAAATTATACATTTTAAGATACGAAATTAGATTGTGAAAAAAATTGTCTCTTATTTAAAAAAATCCCAAATATTCGATTCATTTCAAGGTACAAATCTATTATACCACGTTATAAAAAGACGAATACGGAATGAGTTCTTCAATGTAATTGGCGAGACATACTATATTAGGTGTTATATTACCATTGTGAGCTCGAGTCATGGGATATTAGAAAGTCTTTAGCATGTCTGAATTTTTTTAAACAGTTTAGTTATTGTATGCCGGGACTAGAGTGTCTATTTCGCTCCCGTAATCGGTTAAAGGTCCAATAAATATAAAAATGCCTAAAAATTATGAAAAATAATAAAGAATTTTTATATTTCAGGTGATGTACCAAATCTGTATGAATTTAGCATTCCTCAGGTAGTTCAAAATAAAACTCAATTTACAAATTTTGATTTATGTCAAGGACACCCCCTCCGGTTTCCCTTCACATTTGAAGACAGCACTGTCTCGCGGTTTATATGGCCAACAGAAAGCGTTTTTTCCTCTTACATGACCAACTCCTCAAACTTTCAAGGTATTGCTTTTAATTTATATTATTCAAATCCTCACATTACATTTTAAAAATGTCTTTTTTTATTCTAAAGAAAAACAATTGAGAAAGAAATTTACTGACAGAAAACCCCGTCAGGCCTATAGTGCCTCACAACTGGACCGTCTTGAAAATGAGTTTAATTTAGACAAATATCTTAGCGTTAGCAAGCGCGTTGAACTGTCAAAATCATTATCCTTAACTGAAGTTCAAGTAAAAACATGGTTTCAAAATCGTCGGACGAAATGGAAGAAACAGTTGACTTCACGGTTGAAAATAGCGCACAGACATGGACTATGGATACCTACCCTTCCCATAACAACTATTATTCCAAATACAAAATATGATAATATTGAAACCCATTTAAAAATGATTAAATCTGAAATAAAATAATAATAGCAAATAGTTAAGTTCTTTTTATTGTTTTAATTGGGATAAAGCCATGTTTGTACAAAAGGGGGAAAAATTACACACTTTGCTTCGGTCTCTTTTTTCAATAAGCTGAGAAATGCAGATTTAACCGTTCCGCAGTTTTTATTTCACTTCCACAGTGTTCAAACAAATGAAATTAAATACGAAAATATCAGACGATTTAACAATAGAGAACGCTATAGTCTAATGTTCACACTATAAACTTGTGCGTATACTTAATGAGTTCAATTCGGGTGTTTGAATCTAACTGACTCGCTACTGCGAGGGCTTCACCTTTTATTCATTCGTACATAGGTTTATATCATCTAATTATATAATGCAGCGCTTGTAAGACGCCGCAGTCTGCGTTTGTAAATGCAGCTGAGTTTTATTCTTTTTTATTCTATGTTTGATGCCTATGACCGCGCTAATCGGTCATATCTCTTGACACTTCGGCAATAGGCAGCTGCAATCGTACTTATCTGTAGTTGCCACTTATGCTGTCCAGTGACATGTTTTTTGCAGCCCATAAATAGAACATATTTATAGTTTGCCTACTTATCATGTCTAAACACATATTTAGACATTCTCCGGGGGGGAGAATGCGTTGCAGCTCTAGCTGGTTTTGCTTCGCTAACAGGAAGTTGACAGATCTTGTTTAGCGATCTTTTTACTTCCCCCTCGTTTGTTTTAACCGTGACAACCCGGACTTTATCATCTTGTCCTTTAGTCGTACTAATGAATCTTCCCATTGCCATCTTGCAGGGTAAGTGTTCTCATGTTTTATAAGAACCAGCTGTCCCTCCTTCAGATTTGGCTTTTTTTGGCGCCATTTGGTTCGCAGTTGCAATGACAGATACTCCTCTTTCCATTTCTTCCAAAAATCACCTCTGATGCGTTGAATAAGTTTCCATCTATCCAAAGAGCTGATTGTCTTACTTTCGTCAAAATGTTCAGGAGCTCCAGTTAGAGGTCTTCCCACCAGAAAATGACCCGGCGTAATATGTCTTCATCATAGCTTTCGCTCCTTACAGTGACTAATGGACGCGAGTTTAGCACTGCTTCGATTTGACATAGCAGCGATGCAAATTCTTCATATGTAAAGCCGTTTTCACCAATAACTCGTTTAAGGTGATGCTTCACTGATTTTACACCGGCTTCCCATTAACCTCCCATGTGGGGCTTCCCGGGGGAATAAAGTGCCACTTGATGCCTACTTTTTCTAGTGTAGGTGCTAACTCATTATTGTTTTTAGTGGCAGCTACAAATTCTTTGTCCAATACTCTTGAAGCTCCCACGAAGTTTGTTCCATTATCTGAGTATAGGTTCTCACTCTTGCCTCGTCTTGCAAAGAACCGTCGAAGGGCCTCCAGGAATTTGTCGCTAACAGCTTTCAAATGTATCGCTTTTGTTGCCATACAAACAAATACACAAATGTATCCTTTATACGTTTTTTGACCTCTTCCCTTTGAGCAGCGAATCTGGAACGGTCCGGTGTAGTCGATTCCAGTATTTTGAAACGAGTAATCAGCCGTTACTCGATAAACTGGTAAATTTCCCACCAGTTGACTGGACATCTCTTGCTTGTATCGTATGCATACAATACATTCCCTTAAATATTTCTTTAAGGAATTTTGTATGCCAAATATCCAGAACTCCCTCTGAATATAAGTTCTCATAATGTTAATTCCGCCATGCAGAGTTTCTTTATGAGCATCCTTTGCAATTAACTACTTCAAATGCGACTTATCCAGTATAATTGGATGTTTTACATTATAGGGTATCATTGCGTTTTGTAGTCGTCCACCAACTCGAAGTACGCCATCACTATCCAAAACCGGATTTAGCGCCTGTAACTTACTCTTTGGGTCTAATGGTCTTTTGTTTTTGAGTAGTCTGACTTCGTGTCCAAAATCCAGCTGTTTTTGTATCTTTACCACGGCAATCTTCGCTAGCTTTAATTCCTTCACCGTAAGATGTGAGCTTTTTTATGAAGCGTAATGAATACGCCATTACTCTAGGAAGTTTGTCGATCGATGAATACTTCGATAAAAGATGATTTTGCAGATATTCGGATTTGATCAATGTGGATACCACAATAAGTTCCGATTCCTTTTGAGTGGGCCAGTGTTGTGCATCTATAGCTAGCCAATTCGGCCCTCTCCACCAAATTTCACAGATTTTAAGAGCCTGCGGTGATATCCCTCTTGAAGCCACGTCTGCTGGAGTTTCTTCCGATTTAACGTAATTCCATTTGACATTGGGAATTAGTTTATTGATTTCTTCCACTCTAGTTCTGACGAACTTATCTTTGCTGCGCTTGTTCAGTATCCAAGCAATAGTAATTTGCGAATCACTCCATGCATGCGTTGTGATCTTGTTGCTCCATATAGCCTGCACCTTCGCTAATAACTTTGCTAATAAATGCGCAGCACATAATTCCAACTTTTGAATTGTTTTCCTGTTTTTTATAGGATTTACTTTGCTTTTTACTGCTAGCAAAGTAACTCTGCCGCCTACTTTTGTATACACAGCCGCTGCATATGCTTTCTCTGATGCATCGCAGAATCCATGTAGCTCCATAATACTTTTGGAGCATCCAGTCCAGCGTGAAATGCTAAATTCTTCTAAATATGATAGACCTTTAGCATATTCCATCCACCAGTTAGCTAAGTTGGATTCCAATTCAACGTCCCAAGTCATCGGTAACTTTTACAGTTTCTGAATGAAAAATTTGCCTTGAATCGTTACAGGTGCCAACCTGTGGGTCGAAAATTCTGGACAACTGTGATAACACTAACCGCTTTGTTATGCGTGTTAGCATTGGGTTTTCTGCCGAAAACGTAAATGTATCCTTCTTCGGATCCCATTGAAGTCCTAAGGTTTTGATCGATTCATTCTCCTCAATGTAGATTTTCTCCGTAGCACCGTCGTCCTGAATGTCGGCTAAAATACGTTTGTCATTTGCAACCCATTTTCGCAGATGCATGCCGGCCTTCTCCATCACTTGTCTCAATTTCCTTTGAAGTTCATAGCACTCGTTGACTGTGTCTGCACCAGTTATGAGGTCATCCATATAAAAGTCGTCTCTAATTGTTTCTGCTAAGACGCTATCCTCTTGGCAAAAGCGATCTGCCAACTCTCGTAGACATCGGACTGCTAAGAAAGGTGCTGCCGATGTGCCATAAGTTACGGTTGTTAACTTAAACTCACTGATCGGCAATTTTGGATCATCTCTCCATAGGATATATTGGTATTCTTGGTCTTTCTCAGCAACCTTTATTTGGCGATACATTTTTTCTATGTCAGCTACCATAACATATTGCCACTTGCGTCATTTAATTAGAATATCGAATATATCCTTTTGAATCTTAGGACCAGCTATAATAACGTCATTTAGGCTTAGTCCATTTGTCGTCTTTGCGGATGTCTCAAAAAGTACTCGTAGCTTCGTAGGTAAGCTTCCAGGCCTGATGATAGCTTGATGAGGTAAATAGTATTTACCTTGACCCGTTGTCTTTACAGATTCCATATATCCCATCTTAAGGTATTCTTTCATGAATTCGTTGCCCAGTTCTTTGGGTTTCCTTGAAACTTCTTTTCCATTTGCATAAGCCTTGCCATTGCCTGTTTGCGAGAGTCTCCCAGCTTTGCCTCTTTGTGGAATGGAATTGAAACCACAAATTTGCCTTCCTCGTTGATGATGGATTGTCTGTAATCGTCTCTTCGGCTTCATCTTCCAATTCCCAAAAGCGTTCCAGGTCCTTTAGATTTATTGTTGTAGTGGCATTTATAATTTTTTGCTTTGCTGCTCGAGTTATATTTCCGGACACAATCCATCCAAATCTGGTTTTTTGTCCCAAGATTCCATTCACGGTTTTTATTTTCTCCATAATAATCAGGGGAAATAGATCCACACGTATCACCATGTCAATTCTGCTTGGCTCGTTGAATCGTGGATCTGCTAGCCTGTAGTCCTTCCACTCTTTGTTGATATCAATATCAAACTTTTTGCTGGGAAGGGCTCTATGGAGTGTTGGTAAAACCAATGCTTCCGTTGTTGTTTTGAAGCTGCTTGGAATTTTTGGCTTGATCGTCAGGTGGACGCTATTTTTTGATAATTGAGTAGTCTGGGAGATACCTTCGACCTCTATAGTACTCCTTACTCTGGGAATCCTTAATATTTGTGCTGCTTCCTTTGAAATCAGCGTCTTCTGGGATCCACCGTCAATAAGCGCCCTCAACTCGTTGTACCCTCCAGCTTTGTTTTTCACTAAAACGACAGCTGTAGCCAATAGTGTGTCTTGGCCTTGCTTAAGGCTATTGCTGTTGATACTGCGTTTTGTGTCTTCATGAAGAAGGCTGTTGTGTCTTTTGGAGCATCGATTGTATGTAATTTCCTTTCTGCAGTCGATAGCATTATGCTTTCCAAAGCATCTAAAGCATATGCTGTTCTTTTGACGGATTCTTTTCCTTTTTCTATTGATTGTGCTCTGAATTTGAGACACTTTATCATATCGTGGCCATCCTTAGAGCAAAAGGCACACGATCTAGCTTGAACTTTTCTTGTAGCAAGCTGAGCGGTATTTTTGGTAATGGCATTTACTGAGTTATATTGTTGCTCAATAACCTCCAGTACATCTTGTAAGGACTGTATAGCTCTTGCCTTTTTTACATGCTGTTCATACAGCTGCAAGGCTTCTGGCGAAAATTTCCGCAGCAGAATTTCTGCTAAAATTACGTCAGCAGGGCTTTCTATTTTTCATTTTTCCTTTATGATGAATATGCTCTCGGTCGCAGTATCCAAAAACTTCCCTAAATTTTTCTCATCATGGGGCAGCAAGCACTCCAGTTCCATTAATTTGTTGGAACTTTTGAACTGTTCCAACTTCATTTGAAGTACTGTCTCTAGTGCGGCAACTTCAGATTGCAGAATGTCTGTCTCATCTTGATCAAAGACAGTTCTGTCATACTTGTTTTCAAGCAGTTTAT